ACAGAAATATAATTATTTTGAGGTGCTGTTTTACTATGCTGCTGACCTTTAATTCAGCATCCTCCTGCCTCAGTCTTTCTAATTAGAATTACAGGCACTGTGCTCACTCAATTTTTCAACCTGTGCTAAGGATAAAAATACTCATTAGTTCTACAAGTTTTCTTGATTTCTTAAGATTTCTTATATATACAAACACATCAGCTGCAAAATCAACTTAAATTATCCCTTTTCTACTTATATGTTTTCTTGTCATCTTTTAATGCTGGCCTGGACATAAGGTGAATATGTTTTAAAGTAGAATTTTTATCTTGGTCCTGATATAAGAGGAAAAAACATGTAGTCTTTTTACCATTACAGAAGCATGAAGTTAGCACAGGGCTTTTTTTCAATGCATATCTTTTATTAAACTAAGGAAACAGCATTGTCTTAGTTATTATGAGATTTTATCAGAAGTTTTCAATTCTGAAACTACCTTTTCTATATCACTGAAAATGGCAGCATTGTTTTTCACCTTATGAAAACCATATGAGTTCCTGAGTAGCTCTGGTTTGGTTTACCTCATGAAACCAAAGTTGAGACCCTTCCTGTACTATTTTCCAAAAGTTTCTTATTTAAAAGAGAATCCACCAGTGATATTATTTGGCATTCAGGCCCTTCTTTTGGGAAGGTTTTTTGAGATGAACTGACTTACATCAACAGATACACATCTGTTGAGATTTTTATCTTGTCTCCTTTTGACAAGCATTTTAAAAGAAATTTGTTTATCTAAGTGTCATATTTGGTAAATTAAATTGCTAATGCTTCTTTTCTTTCCCTGTCGCCTTCTGTCTCCCTTTATCTCTGAGGTGCTGGAGGTAGAACTAAGGGCCTTGCTCATGCTGAGCAAGTTCTCTGCCACCAAACAGCATCCTCAGCCTACAATTATTTTACTATAATTATTATTGAGACAGGATCTCACTAAGTTTCAGGGGCTGCACACATATTTGAGATCTTCCTGCTTCAGCCACCTGAAAAGCTAAAATTGCAGACACGGCGATCAGGCCCAGGACATCCTTATTATCTCTTTAACATAAAAAGGTAACGGTTTGATGACAGCCTCTCTTTTATTCCTGATATTGGTAATTTTTGTTCTCTTCCTTCCCCTTCCTTGTTTTTTTTTTTTTTTTTTTCAATACAAAATACAAGCTGAATTGGGGTTTTGTTAATTTTTTTCTCTCGCATTGATTTCTTCTCAGTATTTCTTTCCTTCTACTTAATTATGTTTACTTTGTACTTTTCTTGATTCTAAGTGAAGAACCCCAGGCTATTCATTATAGATCTTTTCTTTTAATAAGCATTTAAAGCTGCACTTTCCTTCAAGGCATGACATTCGCTGCACCAACAAATTCTGTTAGGTTGTATTTCATCATCATTCAGTGAGAGACACTTCTGCCCTGTGATTTCCTTTTAAACCACAGGTTATTTATACATGTAATGTTCAATGATCTTTCTTTTTCTTCTCCTCCCTACCCCCTCTCTCTTTGAAATAGGGTTTTACTATGTAGCCCCATCTGGCCTGGAACTCACAGAGATCTGTCTGCCCCTACTTCTCAAGTTCTGGGATCAAAGACATATACTACCATGTCCCACTTGTTTAATGATTTCTTGCTGATTTCTATTAATGTGGTTCAAGAACATGCTCTCTACATTCCTAAACCATGGCCATTTGCTGACGTTGATCTTACGGGGGAGCACACATCTGCTTGCTACTGTTCATTCAGTTCTATGCCATTATTAAGGTTTTGTTCAGTTATTGTGTCAAATGATGAGAAAAAAGATCTTCCAATCTTCACCTATGATTGTGGACTTATTCCTAACACCACGGATGTTTTGCTTTATTTCAGTTTTCAACAGGCAGACACACCTGTCACCTATGTTGTCTTATTAGTCCTACTCTCATCACTTTATCAATACAAATGTCTATATAGAAATACCAACGAATTAATAAGATTGCCATTTTATCAAGGGTAGATCTAAACAGATTTATTTTAAATCTAATATTCTGCTATCTTCTAGGTTTGAGAAAAATTTATTCAAGCTTTGTGAGTAAGCATTTGTATAAGATGTATCAGAGAGAAACTATCATAATGCTGAAAGAATTTTTCATGTAACTAGGCAATTTTAAAAGTAATAGACCTATCATGAATGAAGACAGGACACTATGCTCTGTACTGGGTTAACTGAAAAGATTCAATTGCACAATGATCTATCAGTGCTTCCAGTAACACTGCTACCTTTGTTTCCGTCTAATGGTCATCAATTAAGTGATAGAAGGTAATATGAGGAGACTCATTTAGCAACGTAGTATTACATCATCTTAACATGAAGCAAAGCCCATCAGGCATTATTAAATTAGCCTGAATTTTACAGAATGTCAGCAGCAGTTTATGTATATTAATGGCAGAGTTAATGTTCCTTGGGGGATGCTGTTGAAGAAAAATGGTTAAGGTGGTATTTGGATATAATTTTGTAGTCACCATTTATATTCCCTTGATTTTTTTTGTCACTTGTGAATATTTAAGGCAAAATGGCAATTAGTTAAACACAGTTTCTGCTTTTCTTATCCACTATAGCATGTTATTTGGAATAAGGATTTTTCTTTGAATGGGAGTTAATACACCTTGCATCATCATCATCATTATCATCATCAAAGGTATTGCTATGTAGCCCAGGCTGGCCTAGAACTTGAGACCCTCCTGCTTCAGCCTCTAGGATGCTAAACTTACAGGTATGCACCACCATGCCCAGGAATACTTCCTTGAATTTCTTGAGTCTATACTGAGTTGGTATTATCCAACAGCATCACAATCAACAGCAAAGCCACTGTTCTATCCAGTGGTTTGAAAAGCCCTCTTGTCCACATTGCTGCTATCTGCTAAGCTAGAGTTCCTCTCTAGGATCATGGACTGTTCAGGTTGTGAATTTTTTCAGAAACTAATTTTGTCTTACATTTGTGTGTCTTTAAATCTTGAATGTTACTACTGCACCTCCCCGACTCCAGCAAGTCTGTGGTTCTCTTTGTCATGGGACTTCTTCACCTCTATAATGTTCATGAACAGATGATGTCAAACAGTTCCTTTTTTTAAAAAAAAATTTTTCATATACCTTTTGATTGGCACATACAGAAGGGCCGTGTCTAGTTCAGGTGAATTCAAGTCTCCTGGGACACTTGATAAACATGTAAGCTCCCAGTTTCCTCCTCAAAGACACTGTAAGTTAAGTAGGTTAGGCACAGACTAGGATCTGAGTAACTCTTACTGTAGTAAGGGGTTAGTAAAAACATTAACTATCACTTTAGGTTTACTGCCTGATGGATGCACAGCCCTGAAAACTACCTCTGGAGAACATCTGCTTCCTAATCTGCATGGTGACTTGCTGAAAGGATTAAATGTGAGGTAAGTGTGTGTGAATGTGATCCCTCAAAATAGTTTAAAGAACTACAGATTTTAGCAATGTAAGAATACAATTCTTTTCTCTTAAGCAAACTGGGAACCTACACCTTTTCTCTTAATGCAAGCATTGTGATGCTTCTCTTTGGACTCCGCAAGTGGTAGCCTCACTATTCTTGCACCTGGGGGCATTATTAACAGGGTTTCTTGAATGAAACCACAATTCCACAACAGTCTGAGAACCAAGACAGCTCCTAAATGAGTAACAGGCAGGCAATGTGTACAGTGAAGACACATTAGACAAAGGAGAGACTCACATTCCAGATGGGACATTACACTATTTCAAATAGCATGTAATCTAAAATGCATCAATTTTTAGCATTCAATTTAAAATAAACCAATTGTTCAATTCTGAAAATTTCCATTTTATACTTTCAAACCAAAGCTGACTGTGGATACCTGAAACCATTGAAAAAAGTAAGTAGAGATAAGGGGCATTTAAATTGTTTTAGAGTCTTACTATGTAGCCCGTATTAGCTTCATACAGCAATCCTCCTGCCTCAACTTCCCAAATGTTGGGATTACAGGCATGGGTCACCACATCTGACTCAAAGGGCAGCTGTTCCATTTAAGGAATTACCTATTTTATCACTATTTGTTTTGTTTTTGAATAATTATGAGTATGTATTATTAACATGAGTGGGTACTGACATGACAGATAAGATGATTCACATGCTTCTGAGAGAAAGTCTCATGAGAGCATACAGATGACAGAAAACAGATTTAACCTGTTGTTTTTTCCTTTCTATTCTTTTTGGCTTGATTCTGAGGGGAACCTGCAGGTAAAATGGATTTAATCTACAGATACAGGAAAGAGTAGAGAAGATAACCATTAGCAAAAGTACAGTTTGAAGAATGGGTAAGAGCAGGAATGAAGTTCCAATATCAAAGCTGGCTATTCTCTAAGACTGGTGGGCTACACAATGTGAATGGAAGCACTTCTAATGCTACCAGCATGGTAACCAGTGTAGCAGTCAAGTTACACATTAATCGTATGATCTTCACCATATGTACCTTCAATCTGTTTTTCCTATGAGGAATTCATCAAACATCATTTTCAGGAAAGAGACATATTATAGAAGGGCCAGAAACTCTGGCTATTTTGTCTCCAGTTAAAATGGAAGTTAAGAGAATCTCCAATGGGCTGGAGGGATGGCTCAGCAGCTATGAGCCCTGGCTGCTCTTTGTAGATTACCCAGGTTCGGTTCCCAGCACCCACCTAAATGTTCACAATCATCTCTAACTCTAGTTCCAGGGGATCTAATGTCCTCCTCTGACTTCTGCTAGCACCAGGTATGCATGTAATGTATATACACGCAGGTATAATACATATACACATAATAAAAAGGTATGTTTAGTTGCAAAATAAATAAAACTCCTACAACCCTCCCCCCAAACCCAACCCTACCACATGCAGTCACAAATTAAATAAATAAATAATGGCCAAATTATGAGTGCAAATTTCCATCTTCTCTATTATTACTTAGTGTCATTCTGACTCACTAAACTTACTTGACAGCCTGGTAATCCAGAGTCTCTGCTGTACAGGGAAAATGAGCCTCTCTCTGATGTTTTGCCTGTAAAACAAAGAAAACAACTTTATATTAAAAAATTAACTTATGGACAATGAATTCAGCTTCAAAACTACAAATGGTAATATTATATCAGAGTTTGGAAGTAATAATAAATTAGAAATGAGAATAAAGCTTGCTTCCATTTTAATCTTTATATTGTCAGTGTGTTATTATTGAAAATATATTAAAAAATAAAGATTTGACATTAAATAGTGATCAGCCTGATTCAGCGATGACATTAGCAAACATTTGCTTCAAACTGAATGTTTCTTTCTCTTCTTTCAGATATGAAAATAGTACATCTGTAGCTGATTTCCACACCCATATACAAGGTACTATCATAAAGCTGGTGCATACGATCCTCATTCACAGTGTAAAAATACATTCATATACTTAATGCACATAACTATTTGATTATACTGAAGCATGTGGGATTATGCCCTTTTGAAATGTGCATTTTCATACATTTTTGAGATATAAATCAGTAACAGACTCTTCATATGAAAAAAAAAAGCAGTTTCTCTATTCCCTGCTGAAAAGTTGTTATAAAGCATTGAACAAATATCCACACATGTCTTAATATATGGGCTCTCAAGTTTGGACACATAACAGAAGCGGCAGGTTACAGGCCAGTCAGCTTCACAAGCTCTGCTTTACTCCTCACTTCATTCTTGTGAACTATGTATTCTCTTTCAGAGTTCCTGTCTGGGTAGCCAGTTAGGTCTAGGAGCAGTCCTGGCAGTTCTTAGGGAACAGCGGGCATCTCACAACACAGAAAGACATCAGCAGTTTCATTCGTTTTGTGTATGTGTGTCTATGTGCTTCTTCTTGTGTGTGGGTGAACACACCAATGCATGTGGGTGTGGACGCCAGAAGTCAACGTCAGGAGTCTTCCTCAAATGTTCTTCACCTTACATTTTGAGAAAGTCACTTATTGAACAAGGACCTTGCTTTTTGACTAGGCTAGCTGGCCAGAGAGATCCTGGGAACTTCCTGTCTCCTCCTCTACCCACCACTGGGATTTGTTTTATTGCTTTTTCTCCTTCTCCCCTACCTTCTTCCCCTATTCCCATTCTTCCCTTTCCTTTCTTTCTCCCTTCCTCCCTTCCTTGACATAGGTCTCTCACCAAGACCTGTTTTTCACTTTATTAGGAACTAGTTCTTTTTATTTTATTTGTATGAGTGTTTTGTATGCATGTATGCAAGTGCACTTGTGCATGCAAGTCCATGGAGGCCAGAAGAAGGTGTCAGATCTCCTGGAACTGGGGTTACTGACAGTTGTTAGCAGCCATGTGGGTGCTGGCAACTGAACCTGAATCCTTGGCAAGAACAGTCATTCTTACCTACTAAGCCTCTCCATTCCCAACTGTTTATTTTCTTAAGGACTCTGGAGGCGGAGGCAGAGACAGAAGGACCTTTACAAGTTCAAGGCTAACCTGGTCTATCTACATAGTGAGCTCCAGACCAGGCAGGGATACCTAGTAAGGCCCTGTCTCTAATAAATAAACAAAGAATAAATATGTTTGAGTAGTTCTGGAATAACAATGCATATTTAGTCTAAGACTTAGAAGGCATTCATCTTTGATTCTGTCAAAATTAATTTTCATTATTTTCATCATAAAAATTAATCTTAACACTATTTTACTTTGGGTATTTGGCAAATAACCTCTGGGTACAGTATTCTAGAGTTTTGTCTTTATGTAAATATCATAAGTAAATGCAGTATGCACATAACTTAATTACTAAATTTTAAGTGAACAGATTAAAGACTCTTAGCAATAATGTCCCTGACCACCCATGAATCATCACAAAGAACCCTTGGGCTTCCCAAAGCCAGGTTCTATCTGTGCTGGAGGCACATGTGCTAGATATGCATGTGTGACTTTGGTCCTTTTTGGCAGCTTCTCAGCATAATGTCTCTAAATTCCCCCAAAACACATAGTACTAAAGCTTAACTGATATGTAATATATATGTTTAAAAAAATCCACATTTGATGTACAGTATATGAACAGATATAGTAAGGTCTAATAGTGGGCATATTAACAACAATTTCAAAACTTAAACTGTAGTTTAAGGAATCTGAAACAACTGTTGTGATATAGAAACACTGGTTCTGTTGGTCATAGAAACCCTAAGTTCTGAGAGGTTATTTTGTTATCTTCCTTCAAAACTGGGGGTTATGATAAATATCACTTAAGAACTGATAAAAATAAAGATGACAAATTTCCCCTATCCAACGTCATCATTTCCCCTCTATTCTGGCAATCTCCAAGCTCCAAGTTAAATATCCCAACTCTAGTAAAATAGCAATAAACATCAGAAGACGCACATATATACATCTGTATGTATAGCAAGGCAGAAGACACATACAAATATGTGTCTTATGTATTATATATAAAAGTATTATAGGTAGTTAAGATTTATGTAGCTTGCATTTAAAAGATTCTTTTAAACTAAGAAATGCTCAAGAAATGATGGTTTTGACCAATTTGTTCAGTTTTTAAAACAATATTCAAGTGGGGCTGGAGAGATGGCTCAGCGGTTAAGAGCACTGACTGCTCTTGCAGAGGACCTGGATTCGATTCTCAGCATCCACATGATGGCTACAAACTGTCCTTAACTCTGGTTCCAGGGAAATCTGAAGCCCTCTTCTGACCTCCGCAGCATTGCACAACATGGGTGCACTCCCATACATACAGGCAATATACTAATACACAAAATAAAAATAATAAAATATTTTTAAAAACAATATTCAAGTAATAGCAAAATTAATGAAGCCTAAGAAATTATTTCCATGGTATTTCTGTAAGACACAAAAATCAGTAAAGGAAAAGTTACCCTAATATTCCCAAAAAGAAAAAAAATCTGTCATTTTGCCTCATCTGCTAACGCACAGATAAGCACAATTGCAGTTGCCAGCTCTTTCCTGCTTAGCTAAGCACCAAAAATGCCAACAAATGTTAACATTAACCTACAAAGAACTCTTGAGAAGATAGCTTGCCTATATTTTTGACACAGGATATAAATGCAGTCAACTGCAGCTGGGAGTAGTAGAGCAAAGTTCTACTTGTGAAATATCCTGTAGTCAGTGGGACAAAAGCAGCTCACCACTGGTAGTTTACTCTACCAGCTAGGCTCCATGCTCCAAGATTCCACAGCCTCCCCAAACAGTGGCACTAGTTGGGCACCAAGTGTTTAAACACATGAGTATGTAGATGACCTTTTACTTTTAAAACATAATAGATGAATTCCATCAAACATGTATGAACCAGATGCTCTGATACATGGTGGGGTTACGAGATCCTCAATGCCACTTGTGGGAATGGTTACAATCCACTAGAAAACTATGTTTTCCAAGTACTACTATGTTTGTTATATATAGCTTATAGTCTCTATGACTTTTTTTTTCACACCCACAAGTTTGATGGAGCCACAATCTGTATCCAGAAAATGGTGGTCAGTTTCATTCTTCCTTAAGGTGCAAATACAGGTCAAAGCAGCCCCACAGCAAGGTCAGGTATGAACTTTGATGATGTTAGAGGAGTAGGCAAGGAAATATCTAGGGCCAGGATGGAACCCATTCTCTTTAGAAGAAAAAGATGAAGGTTGGGTATGGTAGTGCATGACTTTAATACCAACAGAGGCAGGTGGATCTCTGTGAGTTTAAGGCCAGTCTGGTCTAGATAGTGAGTTCTAGGTCAGCCAGTGCTACATATGTTGACATCCTGTCTCAAAAATAAACAAATAGGGGCTGGAGAGATGGATCAGCAGTTAAGAGCACTGACTGCTCTTGCAAGGACCTGGGTTCAGTTCCCAGCACCAACATGACAGTTAACAACCATCAGTAAATCCAGTTCCAGGGGATCAGAAGCCCTCTTCTGACCTCTGCAGGTATTGCATGGCACAGGTGCATTTACATACATGGAGGCAACACACTCATACACATAAAAATAGTAACACAACTTGTCACACACAGAGAACAGATATCTGAGAGATACCGAGCCCTAAATGACACATCTACAGTGAAAACTCTACAACTAAGGCCCATGGAACATAGCAGAACATGCGGCGGACAGAATACCAATGCATCTCTCAACTCTCACCAGTGAAAGTTCCTCATACAGCAGAGTGTTATGCACACAGAAGGCTACAACTAGCTATGTTTTAGAGAATAAGAGACTGCAGTGCATGTCTCTGGATAGGACTTCTATATTAAACCTCACCCACCCACAGCTCAAAAACCACTGTGGAAGAGGGGGTGGAAAGATTCTAAGAGCCAGAGTTGGTGCATGACCATAAAATAATAGAGATTTTCAGGTCACTGGGAACTTGTTCATATGAACTTGCAACAATGGTGATAGCATGCACAAAACCCATGTTGACTATATCAGACAAAAACTCAGTACAGAATGAGGGAAATGGGCTACAGGTCCAACCCTAGCCTAGGAACTATTGACAACTGATTACTGCTAGGTGAGGGAGAGTAGATCTTCTTTAAGGGAGAGACTCTAGATAGGCTGACTGGACTCCAGTGGATGAATGTGCAGTGAAGGACATCTGGATACAAATGCTTGACCATAAAGGACTTAACATATATGACAAAATGCATGCAATCTGGTGGTGGTGGGGCTATGGGGAACATGGATGGGGAGGAGGTCTAAATTTGATTATGATTTATTATAGAAATGTACAAAAACTCAGTAAAAATATTGTAAAAATGAATAAAATTTTGAATCAAAATTACAACAGAATTTACAGAATTTTTGAAATTCTCTAAATCTAATTCTGCTATTTTGAAGTCTCTATGTGAAGCAGTGTTCTCATTATGGACTATTATAAAATCAAAATATCAATCACCTCTGAAAAATATTGACAATGTTCTCTTTCTTCCTCATCAAATATTCAATCAAAATTTACTCCATAACATATTTTAAAAAACCCAAGTATATCCAACTCATCCGAATGAAAATTTGCTTTCTTTCTTTGCTTTCTTTAAAAATTT